TGTGTGTGTGTGTGTGTGTGTGTGTGTGTGTGTGTGTGTGTGTGTGTGTGTGTGTGTGTGTGTGTGTGTTGTATTCAAAAGGCTATTTTTTTAATAAGATGAAAGGCGTTACGTTCTTCCAGTAAAATTCCCCTGCAAGTTGTCGGGCCCTCGGTCTGCTCTGAGGCTAAAATCTAAAAAGTGCCTACAGCAGCAGATAAATCCAAGATGGTAATATCAGTGGGCGCTCATCAATATGTGGCTGTTAAAGGCTGAGAAAGATGCCTGAAGATAAAACAGCTGGTAGACCTCATTTTCCACTCAGGTGCCGTTAAAGCTCAACAGTAAAAAATGGGGGCACAGCAAGGGGGTCATTAAAGAGAGCTGCCATCAAGCCTCCAACTGTGGGAAATGATGCAGAAATTACATTTTAGATTCATCTAGTTTGTGTGTTTAGAGTTAGAACACTTAACGTTGTCGGGCAGAACATTCAGATATGAAAATTGATTTAGAGAGCGACACCTGCTGGACAAATTTAGGATGGCATTTTAAGATGTGACGTGCATTTCCTACAAACAATTTGGAAGAAAACATCTTAGAATTTAGGAAATCTGGCATGAAACACATGATTTTTACTATTTTTTTCCACATAACTGGTATATTTTTTAAATAGAAGTGGCTAAAGTAAGACAGGAAGTGACAAGTGAATCCCCTGATCCAACTCCATCTCTGATAGCAACTCAAGATAATTAAAGAAACATCAGATTCTGCAGGTGTTCCTGTTTCTCATCACTTCCTGTTACTGTGCATGTGAATCTCTGTTCGTCTCAGGGACATACATTTATTTATTTATTTATTTATTATATCCATCTATCTTTCTAAAACCAGATTGATAAAATTTGCCATCACAGCCACTAAATGATAAAATAATTGAGTGGCCTTTTTTCTCCTGTTTTAAAGTATTCAGTCACCGTTTCAATTAAAAAATACAAATAAAAACAAACTAGTTTAAATGAAATCCACTTGTTCTTCAGCATTTCATTTGCTGCAAATTCAGGTAAGAAGCTGATTTGTTTTTGCTGCAATTAATGCAGCCTCATTACATCAAGCAATAACTTTTTTGTTTTTAATCATTTATTTTATTACCATTTTCTTTTATTGCACTTTTCAGATCATTATTTCAAGAAATGAAATCAATGCATCTGCTGCAGAGCACTTGACTTGGAGGCGTTAGTAATTAGGTAAGGTTAAATTTATTTATATAGCACTTCTCAGCAGCAAGGCGATACCAAGCGCTTTTTAAATATAAAAGAAAAAAAAGAATAAAAAAGTAGATAGTTTTTTTTTTTCTGATTATTTTTGAGTATTTTCTGTTCGGGTTGAACAGGGATCACAAGAACAATTTAGTCATCCTAAATTAAATCAAAGTTTTGCTTATTTTAGAGGTTTTTCAGTATAAAAGAACACATTGTGTTGGATTTTGTAATAAATACCTTTGAGTAGTCACTCCCTGCTTTAGATGGGAGACTCCAGCTTTTATTGTGGTAGGTCTGCAGGTTTGGATGAGGCTGAGGTAGGATCTGGGTTTGAGTGGACGACTCGGGCACTTCCTGTCTCTGCTCGGCGCCGTCCCGCCTGGCCTGGCTGGATTTTTTCTGTCGGACCGACGCCTGGTACTGATCCCTCAGGTTGGCAGCTGCAGTCTGTCTTCTGATGGAGGATTTGGGAGAAGCAAGGGGAGAATCCTCCTTCTCGCTGCTCAACAGCAGAACCTGATTGTTGTCAGCCTGGAAATGAACAAATAAACCAGACACGCTCACACAGACATGTTTAATAAAAAGTGTCAGCTTGATGCAAATCAGCTGGTCTCAAAACATCAATAATCAGTGGAGTGGGAATGGGACAGTCAAGTGTTTTAATGGGATTCCTCACTGATAACAGAGCTGGAGAAGTCTTATTCATGAAGAAAATCTATTTAAAAAAAGGTGATAAGCTGACAAAAACACTATTACACTTAAACTAACTTATTTGGAGGACTTGAACACGTATCTTCCTGAACAATAAAATGTCTTTCAGTAAAAGTTTAAACATCATAAAATAAACTTAACAGGTAAATCATAAAGAAAAAATAAGTAGGTCCTCTGGATGGGCTCTTTAGTGAAACGTTTCTTCTCTCCTCCAAGAGACTTCTTCAGTCTGATGAGTTTCAGATGAACTCAGCCTTATAAGCACTGCCTCCACATGGACAAACAGGTTAGTCACATGCAAAAGAGGGCCATCGCTTAACAATAGTTAAGTGATGGCCAATAGTTAATAGTAACTGTTAGCTGATGGCCCTCTTTTGCATGTGACTAACCTGTTTGTCCATGTGGAGGCAGTGCTTATAAGGCTGAGTTCATCTGAAACTCAGACTGAAGAAGTCTCTTGGAGGAGAGAAGAACCGTTTTACTAAAGAAGAACCATCCAGAGGACCTCCTTATTTTTCCTTTTTGATTTTTTTCTACCTGGATTACTGAGATGCATCAGGACATTAACGGATAAATCCAAACAAAATTAACTAGATTAAAACAGATTAAACAATTTCTCTACAGCTTTAATGGAACCAGTTTAAGTAGTAGCCGTGAACTCACGCTGTAGCGCCTCGGTACCGACGACATCCTGGACTGCTTGATCCCAAAGGGTCTGGCTGTGACTGCAGCAGAGATACGGGAGGAACCCTCGGAGCGGCGGAAACCCCGGGGAAGGCTGGCCGAGCTGGACCACGACACGGTTCTAGACGTGTATTTGGAGTTCCCTGAAGCCTGCTGGTTTCTGCGGTCCACCGATGAACCCCAGTCCAGTTTGCGGCTTTCTTCCTGAGCTTTGCGGATCGAATCGGGCAAAAGTTTAGTTGTGTCGGCTCCGGCCTCGTTAACCGGGTTTGAAGAAAAATTCATCTCTTTCAGATTKATGTTGACTGGAGGTTTTTCTTGACGTGGCCCGGATGAAGCAGGGTTCAGGCTGCTGGTTGATTGGAGAAATTTGTTTGGATTTTCCGAAGCAACAAGGGAGCCTTTATCTGTTGGAGCGTTTTGAGGCTGGGCCGGATCAGGTGGAGCCTGGCTGCTGAAGGCTCTGACTTGGGTTTGAGAGGTGAAGGGGTGATCCAGAGAAGGTGTGGTGACTCTTGCTCCATCTGAAGCTAAAAATGCAAAATTGGTTTTCTCTTCTTCGAAGATGATCCCAGCAGAGGTCTGCATGGCTCCCACTGCTGATCCCTGAAAAGACAAGTTTAAGGGTGGGTGGGGGGGGTATTGTGAATTTTCCAGGCACATAATTAAATTCTGTACCACAATCAAGCAACTTTTACCTTCAGCTGCTATGAAAATCCTGTATATTTCAAAATTAAATCAAAATTTTTCACCATAATCCATCTAAATGCCTTGAAATTGGTCTTTATCTCTTTAAGAACCTCCTACCATTTCTGACTCTCCCACTTCAGCACATCTTCACAACAATGCTTGGGCAAAGGGATGCAATGGTTGCAAGAACTCGGCTGCAGACTGAACTCCAGGGAGGAGTTTTGTGTAAATAGGCGGAGCTTTGTACAAAATAGGCGGAGCTTTGTACCAGCAATTGTTTAGGCAGCGACACCAGACCACCACAGGAGATTTAGGGACTTCTCAAACATGCCTGAATGAATCAAAGCTACACTCTAGGTATGTTTTTGATGAGGAAATGACTTAACATGACAAAGCACAAAAAAAAGAGTCAATATTTCATAATACTACCCCACACCCCTTAAAAACTAGCTAAAATAGAAAAGATACAGAACGAAGTTTCCATTTTTGTTCTGTAGAAGGACAAACAACCTGATCATGTATTCATCCCACACTCAAAATTTTAAGAGTATTCTGAGATTTTTCCGACTGCAGGTAAGATACTGACTGCTGTTGAACCATTTCATAAAACTTCACTTACAAAAAAAAAAAAAAAAAAAAAAAAAAAAAAAAAAAAAAAAAAAAAAAAAAAAAAAAAAAAAAAAAAAAAAAAAAACTGAACTAAAAAGGTCAAAGATGAAAACTGAAAATGTCTAATAGTACCTGAGTGTGGGTTTTGGAGCCGACGGGGTCCTCTGTGGCGCAGCTGTGGGCCAGCAGAGCTCGAGTGTGAGGTCTGAGATCAGAACTCGAGGGTTTTGATGGAGAGGGGTTGGAGGAAAAACGGGGAGCGGTGCTGTGCTGCCATGGTGACTGGTCCCTGGAGAATCTTTGAAGGAAAGAAAAAGGAAACATGATTAAAACTCAAAAAGACGGAAGGATCCGTCTCCTGCTACACGAGTTTTATTAAAGCTATGCCAGTTCTTTTCCCTTCACAAACACGTCTTACTTTGAAACAGCAGAATTTGCCTTTCAAAGTCTAATAAAAAAAATAAAAATCACAATCACCTCTTTATGGGACCACCCTGCGCTTCATAGCTCAGCGCCGCCCCATCAGCCACCTGAATAATGACATGCTCCCTGTCCTGGGACTTCCTGTAGAGCTCAGTCTTGGTACTCCTGCGGCGATTCTTCCACTTTGTCAAGACCTGAAACAAATGTTTGCTTAAAAAAACTGCTTCTCGTAAAAATGTAACTTATTAAATCACACTGGAGATGTTGATCACACATCCGTCAAGAGACTTTGAGGACAGCGTAAAGAATGAACGAGTTTCCCCCTCAAAGACGTCCTGAACTACAAAAATAGACCTCATAATGAGCCGTTTTGTCAGAACTGACTTACATCCTGCCACTGCGCTTCGCTGTCCTTGGCAGCAATACTGCGCTTCCTTTCACTTTCTTGGCTCCACCCCCTCAACAGGCCGGTGTCCTGTCCTTTATTATAAATGGGGTTTCCATTTGAAACCTTACGCGCAGGGTACACCATCGGGATGTCGCTGAGGGATTTGCTCCTAGTTCAGAGAAAAACAGAGGAAGGAACGCTGAAATACTGACGACAGGGGGCAAAACATACAGGTCTGAAAATGCAAAATCGATGTTTGTTCAAAAATGCGAAAAAGCTTAGAAAAGAAAAAATAATCGAAACAAAATGCTACAGGACATATTGCATGATGGGAAATAAGCAGAGGCACATAACTACTTGAGAGCAGTACCTTAACAGAAAATTATTTTGTAAAAATAAATTTCACTGGTAAGAAAAGTTCTTAAAACTGCTCACAATAATCAGGAAAAGGGAAAGCGACATGTTGAATTTAAGTTCCACTAAGCTGTGTAAATGCAAAGTTACACATTTTCTTTAAACTGAGTGAGCAATTTGCATTAACTCAGCTTAGTGGAACCAGTGGACATACAGTATATTGGTTAAGTAAATCCAGCACTTCCTGTCCCCTCAAAGCCAGCCGGTGGAGGCAGATGGCCGCCTGTCCTGAGCCTGATTCTGGTTCTACTGGAGGTTTCTTCCTGTTAAGGAGTTTTTCCTCTCCACTGTCACCATGTGCTGCTCAGGATGAGAGACTGTGATGAAGTGAAGATTCAACACAATCTGCCTCTTTAGAATGATTTTTTAATTTAATTTAATTTAATTATTTTTGTGTACAGTGCCCCGAGATGACATTTGTTGTGACTTGGCACAATATAAACTGAATTGAATTTCATTGAACTTCATTTTTTAGAGTGCATAAACA